CCCCCTCAGTTCTGTGTTGTGTGTCTTGATGCAGCATAAGGGAGTGGGTGGGAGTTAAAGTACTTCCTCAACCATCCATGAATGCCTCGTGCTAGTCCGCACCGCATCCTACAGTGACTGAGCTCACGTGTTGTTTTGACGTCCGCGTGTGCATCACGTGGTTTGTTGGCTGAGCGCAAAGTCTAACCGCTGCACCAACCGATGCAGGTGTTCTGAGTACTCGTGCAGTGATTTGCAATTGGTCAAGACGATGGGCACGCATTTGTGCATGTGCGCCACTTTAGATTCAACTTGATGTGCTTGTGGATTGAGTTGAATATTCTTATGGTGGAACATGATTTGCTTAAGGAGGAGCTTGATTATGTTATGGATTCAATTGACTTGGAAATGGTATAGTTGGAGATACGATACGGATGAGGTAAACGGTCGTTGACGGTAGATGCTATTAGCACCAGGCCGTTCATATCCGTGAGCGACATCTAATACAATGGTGAGGGTTTGATTGAAAGGTTTGGACTACTCGCTGTGTGAGCTTCGAAACGAAGTTTCTGATACCGATACTGTATTTAAGAGTAAGTAAAACGGTTTCTGTACAACTATCAAGTCATGAAAATGCACAAAGATTGTATTGCGAATCGTCAGCGATAGTGTTTGGTCAGTTAATCATTTATTCTTGTTCGGTTAGGAATTCGTATTGGTGTCATTATTTCCGGGTGTAGGAAGCATTCTTTGCATTGTATGTGCACCGTTTCACAAAAGCACAGGTTTCCGAAATAATCATCGATACGTGTTTCAAAACATTTCACAGAATCGGCCTCTATTAATCCTTCTGGTAGTGCATTCCATAAGTTTGTAAAAGTGTCCTCGGGTATTACAGGGTCCCCGCAGATGAAATATTGGCCGTAGTATGGGGAAGTGATTCAAGCGTAGTACTTGTTGGGTCATAACAAGGTCAATTCTTAATCGACAGTAGGATAGTGTGTAGAGCCCGAGACTTTCAAAGCGATTTTCATACGGAAGCTTTCGTAGAGTCGGCATCATTCTAGTTACGATACGCTGTATTTTCTCCAGCTTTTTAGTTTCCCATTGGGTTATCGGATGGTAAGCTGAAGCACCGTATTCAAGGATTGGTCTAATGAGCGAGGTGAATATGCGAGGGACGGTTTCCTCGGACCATGTGGAGAAACTGCGTCGTAATGTCCAGAGCATACGAAGTCTGTATATTCTAGTGATCTCATATCATGTCGCGAGAGCACTCCTAAGTCTCTGACAGGTGTGTTGGGATGGAGCAACTAGCCATCCAAGGTGTATGATCGAGTGGCTGGACGTCTGGTGATACTGATGAACTCCGACTTGCTGGCGTTAAGAGGAAGTTGCATTTCAGCGGACCACGTTAACAGTCGCTCTGTCATGCTGGAGGCGAGCGCAGTCGTCTTGGTTCTCAAAGATCTGCCATATGTGCAAACTATCTGCAAAAGGGCAAATGGTGAATAGCGCTGCTGCGGAAGATCGTTGATATGAATAAGAAATAATACTGGCCCAAGTACAGTTCCTTGAGGCCCGCCGCTGGTCGAAAGGAACCAGTCTGTCAGGTAGTCATTGACCTGTACGCTAAACTTTCGTCCCACAATAAACTAGTGTAACCACTGAAGTAGCATGCCACCGATTCCGTAGGTCCTCAGTTTATGAAGGAGTACCTCGTGGTTCAATCTGTCAAACTCCTTACTAGAGTCAATGTAAACCACGTCAACATCCTTCCGTTCGTTGGGAGCTCGTACCCACTGGTGGTTTGCGTACATCAAGTTGGTGATGAAGGATCGCCCTTTCGTAAAGCTGTGTTGCGCTGGCGTCAATATGTCCATCGATTCGAAGAACGACGGAAGATACTTTTCACAATCTTCTCGAGAACTTTGGATAAGATCGAAGTCAAATAGATCGGTCTATAGTTCTCTACTTTACTCGGATCACCACCCTTGGGAAGTGGTCTCACTATCGAGCATTTCCAGTCGTTGGGGACAGATCCTTCAGAGAGAGTGATTTATTGAATAATTTTGTCACGGCTGGTGAAGTGATAATCGATAGGGATTTAAGTATTAGTGGGTGAAGTCCGTCTGGTCCAGGGGGCTTGGCACCATCGAGATTGACCAAGATTTACTTTGAAGCAAACATCGCTTGTCCCAATCACTGAGACGCTATCCGAAGTGGCAACACTTTTAAAGTTGCTGCTCGCCACAAAAATTGCACCCCCGGCCTGTATTGCAATTATTTGAGCTCATCATGCAGAAGGAACTGGAGTTGGGCCTGGAACACGGAACATCATACTGCTGTGGCAAAGGTATTCATCGCGAAACCCTGAGAAGCACGAGTTAAGATTGTTACAGCAGCTCATTGGTTCCGGAATCCTATTGCCACGCTCAATGACCGATGTGTGTCGCAATCTACACACACAACGGGTACAGCCAAACTTAAACGCATAAGAACATGAATTTGCAGTAAACTATAGAACTGAAAACTCTGAGACATTGATTGATTCTTAGTGAGCAGTCCGAAAACGACAGGAAGGCATGAGTAAGAAACGCACATACAATCGCAAAGTACGCAAGACATCGAGCGGAGAAGAGATTCCATCTTGAAAGCGATGATTCGTGCTGCAGGAGGCGCATGACACCACAATCCTTGCGCTTACCATCGGTTCTTGAGTGTACAACAGGCTCTGTGATGAACTGATACAATGAACAGTAAAACACAGGGAAAGGGCGTGTTCGTTCAAAGGTGATCGACCCATCTCTTTCGACATCACCAGTAGCTAGCGGCGGTGTTATCTGAGCGAACACAGTAGTCACGAAGTATAGATGAGTCTGTAAGTTTGAGCCGACGAATGGCGGAACCATAGGTGATGATAAAAGAGCTTTTAGCCTAATATAGCAATTGATAACTTGCGACGCAACTTGTAGCTACTTGAAATGATAATTACATTTCAGGAACATATGGAACAATAGTTCATCGCAGACAGTATCGCACTGCCGGGGAATACAAGGTTTATTTGGAATAAGAGGGAATATTGGTAGGCTCGAAGAAAACCACCTATACCGCGTATTTCAAAACTACGGTTACCGGTGCAAGTTCGTCAGAAGCAGTTGAAGAAAACGAACGCTTCAGCAACACAGCAGCAGCCAGCAGAGCAGACAAACAAACGAATAGTGTTTCAGTACATCAAGTCGATCAGAACAACCAGAACAATGTTATATACCAGATAAAATGCAGTGGGTGTGGTAAAAACTAGGTTGGACAAACTGGAAGGAAGCATCGTACACGAATCACCGAGCACAAAGCCGCCGTAAGATGACATGATCCTACTCCCTTGGTTTCCGCACATGAAGATCAATATGGCCACCACTTCGAGCTAGAAAACACGAAGATTCTGGCGCGTGAGAGTACAAATTATGCGAGGGAATTTCTGGAAGCATGGCACTCCACAGCTAATTCAATTAACCGACACATTGAACTGGACGCAGCATACACTACACTACGGTCGAGGGACCGCCACCCCAATCGACTAAATCTGGTGGATCAGAACACCATATACACGGAACAAACGACATAATTGAGCACTGGAGTAACCAGGTGAAGGTCACAATGCACAAGACAGATGTCAAGGTCAACTACCTGTCCAACAAGCTGAACACGGACAGAGGTGGCAACCAATAGGATTGCGCATCTTCGCGACCAAACACGCGAATATATAAAAGCGCACGCGCACTATAAGCGACGCACTCTCCTCGAGGCGCGCCTACGCTACGCTACTGGCTACACGCTACTCAACAACGCGATGATGTCACCTCGATTGGTGACGTAAGGTTTGCAACAAAGGTGCCAAACGCAGCGAACAGTTCGACTGCCAAAAGGTGTATTTATTTAATGCCTAACAGGCCCCGTAGAATCATTCATGTGGGAATTTTCAAGCCACAATGAAGTCAACAGCGATGAGGTGGTGATATTTTGGGGGTGAAGAAACGCGTGGTCAAAGAGCAACCTAGATAGCGTCCGAAACAGTGTAGGGGGGTCGTTATGGTTAACGTCACTTGTACTACCCTCCGTACCTCCCTGTGATGCACAGTTCTGTATAAAGTACGGGACAAAGCGCCAAAGTTCATGTATAAAAATGCAGGGAAGGGCAACATCCAAACGAATCTAGAAGGTAATTTATGTGGAGGCAGAAACAATTGGGTTTTAGAGAAACGACAAGCATGGCATTCTACACGACAGCATTGCCCACTAAATTGTCCGCGAGCTGTGTTATGAATGAGTTACGGCAGACAGCGATACACACGATTGGGACCGCTCCACAGCCAGTATGAGAGTACCACGTGGATGCTGGTATAGCCTACAAAACCCTTCGAGTATGGTCAGTCTGCTGGTATGCAGTGTAGCGCAGATCTGCCGTATTCTGTAGCGGTCGAAATCGTGGGATCCCTATTGCAGCGACGTCGCAATTCTTAAGACTTGAGCAGCATAATCGATGAGTGAAAACAATGTGTCAAAATGGTCGATGGCCGGCCCGTAGCCTTAAGGATCACGAGCCTGCCTCGTAATCCGAGTTCGTGTGTTCCAGCCTGCGGATGGACCGAGCGACCCTCGCAGTATCCTTAGCCTACGTGCGACTGGTAGTGGTTGCGCGGCAGTGAAACGCCGGTACTGCGTACCGGCATCCTGCTGACACCTTGTTTAAACTAGTGGATGAAAAAGGCACCAATGTAACACCGTCAGATGGCAACAGACCACCCAACAAGGGACTTGACCATGGGTCCGACTTTTTGATCATAGTTCACAAGAACAACGAGGGACATGCCACGAGCAGTGCCGGTTCCGATGTTAAACGAATTCGAAAGAGATTTTGCCAGACACTGTGTTTGAAGCGGCAGGTGGGCAAGGAGGTCAGGAAGCGTGGTGTAGTGAGGACGAAGAGAGAGAGAGAGAGGGGACAGGAACTATAGACTTACCTAGATAATGTGCGTAAGCAAACGAACTCATCAGCATCCCAAATGGAGACTAGAGCATCGGCGGAACCCACAGCAAAGTACCGACCAGAAGGAGCAAACTGAAGGCACATGGTGTTCACTGGATGTGCCTGTAGACTAGTCTCTCGAATCATATTGCCCGGTTTACCGCTGAACAAAAAATACAGGGGAGGAGCAAAACATGAGTACAGCATAGTTATTCACTCTGACGTAGACACAGAACTGTAGTGCAATAAGTGACCAAAACTAGACTACAAGGAGCATAAAAATTATGGGTAGTGAAGTAAGAGGAAATAACAGATAGAAGTGGTTGAAAAACACTAAAGACACAAAAGGTACTAATAGAATAAAGGCTGGCTAGTCGAACAGCCTCCCCGTGGTGCCAGCTGGGTGGTTCGGGTTATTCCCGTTCCAGCAAATGGTTCGGCGGCAGTGTTCCAGGACGTGGTGGGATTCCGCCTGGCAAGCGTTCTCCCAATAAAAAGCCGCATATATCCGTTTATTAACACTGTGACGTGGCGGATGTGACTCGTCACGAAATAAAGTCACTGCGTCTTCTCTTTCCGGAAAGTCATTCCCACATCACGAACGTCATGCAACTCGAAGCGTTCCTTTGATCCCTTTCTTTGATGGCGAAACTAGCGAAAAATAACCCACACAGAATCACATTTACTTACTCAACATGGCTACCTACACTTACACACACGTACTTCTACATGTCAATATACACCCATAAATTCCTATGCTACTGGTCAAATTGTAATAATTTGTACAATTGCCGATCACATGTGTCTGTATTACTATGATCATGCGTTTGATGGCGCGTCTTGCAATGACGAGAATAAACCATTTGTTTATTTATTTGTAAAAGAACGGCGAAAGAGCGTTTGTTATCAACTAATTTGATAAACCAAGCAAGGCATGGGTCCTTGTAAAAGCGCTTATGCCAGACTCATCATCCTAATCAGTTGTCAATGATAACAATGACAAAGCAGCCATCATCATGTTGTCATGACTTGGTTGTAAGGATTCTCCTAGTCGAAACGAACGAACGACTTGCGGATTGTATACGCATACCGAAAAGTAGCCGACAAAATTCGATTCACACGACCCGTTAGATGTAGGCACCAAACGTTTTCTACGCGCGAGGTGTAGCGATCGACTAGAAAAGAACGCGGACTCAACACGCGTCTACAAGACCCCGAGTAAGAGGAAGGGAGAGAGGGGAGAAGAAAAACAGGTTTTCGGCAGCAGACGCTTATATTGGCCCAGGAAACATCGAATACAGCACCAAAGCGGTCTTATTTTATTAGCAAGATTGGTGGCATATGTGCTTTTTCAAATAGAACAATCTGTGTAAGCGCAACCATGAAAGCGCGACGTACGCAAGTGAATTAGCGCAACGTGGTGGCACTTTTGGAAGCATGAATGGTTGTAAACTATAAAGCGAGGGGTAGGCAAGCTGACTAGCAAAATGTAAGCGAAAGGTTTTCGGAAGAACGAATGTTTGTCATAACTGAAACTGGCCGGAAAAAGTGAATTCATTACTGATGGTCGGGAAGAAAGTGAATTCTGGTGAATGCGGAGACCGATGGAATCACGTGCACTGACATGAATGCGAGTGTCTGAGTCCTACGTGGTTTCGCTTGCGTGATATTGTGGGGACATACATTCCCCAAAACACATCCTTTTTATTGACGTGTAAAAAACCTTTGACAGAGTGCCGCGCGACAGACTCTTGGAAAAGCTAACACGTTTTGGGGTTACCAAACGTCTCTATGTAAGGTTCAAGTCATACCTCGCAGGTCGCACACCACAAGTGCAAACAACAGCCTTGTTTTTCCCTGTCAAAAGTAGCGGGATTCGGACAGTGCAATGAACGTCCTGTTCGCCTATCAGTGACATAGCTGAAACAATAAAATTTGGGAAGCCAAACGACTTTGCGGATGACATAGAATATCAAACAATTTCGATTCCAGTTGCATGAACGATACTACGGATTGTGGTACCCCGATAGGTAAATGTCATTCTCAGCAGTGGATGAACCTGTAGACCGGGCCCATATTTTTTCAGCCATTGACACAGTATCGCCAAAGAAGCAAAGGGTGTAGTCATTGTCGACAGATTTGGAGCCAGACAGTCGAAGATTTGTTGCAACGCCGGTATCTAGTATGCTTGTTCCAGAGACACAGCATACATCAATACCAAGAGAGTAACACTGGATTCCGGATGTGCGCAGGCATGTTGCTTTGCTCGTTCAAAGCTTCGGAGAGTCAGGCAGGGCCAATAGGTGTCTGTTTGTCGTTGTTGCCTATGACCTCACAAACTGTAGCACTGACTCTGCGAAAGATGGTTTCGATCACCAAATGAACAAGCTCCTATTTAATAAAATAAGCACGGACACCGTAGTGCAGGCTGGATATCTGAACGCTCAAACTAGAAAAATCTATTGAGGAGTACCATATGTACGACCAGCAGGGTGTGGATTCCCGTAATGAAAACGGTGAGCTGATGCCACATTTGCTTGAAGATGCTCGTCAGTTTGTCATCGCTAACTACTGGCACATCACCCGCCGCAGAGTAGAATAGTGCTTATCAGCCGCGGAATAGTGATGGAGACAAATTGATAAGAACGTATTTAATTACAGGCAGAGAGGATGCGTCCAAAACTGCCGCTCGATTTGGAGCACACGCATGGAGGCCGGCCACGCAATTGTATGTACCGGTCTCTGGATTCGCTTCGATGGACGCTACCTGTCCTGTACCTGTCCTCCAGATGTTCAAAGTGCGATGGTAAATTTACATTATCGGTGGTTTTGTGTAGTGTAGTTTTTGCAGATTATTGTGCAAACTTGAATGGTGGCTTCTATTTACTACAAAAATTACACTAATAACAAAACCACCAATAATGTAAATTTACCGTCGCTCTTTGAACATCTGGAGGACAGGTACTTCGGTTCATTGGGAAGTTACGAGTGAGTGAGCTAATTTGTAACACCAGGACAGGTACTGGGAGCATATTGGCAATACGTCGCGAACCAAGCAGAAGTCATGTATTACAAATTGCGCACCTGATCGTTAGTCCTCGGTAGCACAGTTAGTAGAGCAGCGGACCGGTAATCCGCACGTCTAGGGTTCGAGTCTCCATCGAGGCAGATTATCGTGTAGTTTAATCGTGGCTTCTACTTTCCACAAAAGTTACACTACTCACAAAATCACCAATAATGTAAATTTAACAGATATCTTTTGTTCGATAATATTATTTCAAGTGATTGGCTGTTGCTTGATATCCCCGGTATGGCTGCGCCTGATGAGCATGTTGACAAGGTGCCTACCTGTCTATGACCCAATACTTCGTCCACACTGGTTCCTGGAGACAGTTGGTCGTTGCTGGAGGGGGTGGGATGCACGGTCCTTGTGGTCGTGCTAGGCTCGAAGAGTGGTTCCATGCACTCAGTGTGGAGCCGACTACGGTCTAGCCACCGCCTTGTGTGCGCTTGATTCCCCAAATACAGTGTGCTTGTGTTTGTCTGTGAAGGAGTGTGGGCCGGCTCCGTTGATGAAACGTGGCTCCCATCCACATGCCTTCCGGTCTTATTCCTTCGAGTTTACGCTGGAGGAGTGTGTCGTTGGAACTGGGGGTGGTGCAACGTAAGCCACCCATGGTCCCTTTTTAGGTGCAGGCGTCCTGTGGCTGGCCACAGTGACAAGCAAATCCGAAACCGGATGCCGCCAACCATGTTATGCATCTGCAGGAAAGGCCAACAGCGAGTGTGAAGTTCGTCGCAACAGGACTGGATCTTGAGGTGGTGTGACGGTCCGTGTATCTCTTCTACCCACTGAGCTACACTGGGTGGTGTCCCCGCCTATTTTCAGAGCCAATCCTACAGGTTTGCTTAATGGTTAGTGGTCCGACAAACGCAGTCTCCTCGTCCTCCAGGTTGGAGGGTTTGCAATAGGATGACCAAAGCTTTGTCACCTTCCCGCTGCTTTTGAGCACCTTAATAGTTCTCCTGGCAGTATCGTAGCCCACATACAACCATGGCTATTTCTTCAAACTTCAACCACATCCCGCATCGGTCGTCGCGCAGAATCTAGAAAGTCGCCTTATCTGCTGCATTCAGCAAGGCGGATAATCGAAAACATGCTACTGCTGGCAGTTCCTTTTACACCAGCTTCTCTTACTCGTTTCCTAATCCCCATTACCAACATTCTTTCTAAAATTGGTAGCTTAATTGCTAGCATCTGTAAAGCCACCGGAGTCATACCATCCGTAGATAGCCTTACGCACAAGCCACTGGAGGCCTACTAGCAGCAGCCTCTCATAAAGTCCCGCTGTTCCGTTTCGTTGGCGGTGTTCAATGTTCGCGCTCTAAGACAAATAGGTCAACAGGCTACACTCATACGCACGTTGGACATCCTGGGTTTTGACGAGTGTTGAGTGCCTGAAACTAGGATACAGACCCTCAAGGGTTTGCACTAAATGTGCCCGGCTTTTCCTCTCGCCATTGGTTGCACGCGGCGGCAATCACTGATCAAGCTGGGGTGGACATGATTCGCAGTTCAAAGGCGGGGTTGATTGGATTGCCGTGAGCAGTTCATTTGATGACATCAATTAAGGCCGATTCACGAAGTAGTACAATAGGCTGTTTGTGACTGCTGCTTATGCCGCAGTCGACTGCAGTTTTGATGCTGCAATGGACACCATCTAACACGAAGTGAGCAAGCCACTTCACCGTGTTACCAGTTCAGATATCGTTGTTGTTTCAGGGGATATGAATGTGCAAATGGGTTGTCTAAGCTCTTCAGAAGCGCAGCTAGGTGATAAATATAGACCGAAGTCCGACCATACAGACAACGGGGAGCGTATGTTGAAACTGCGCGCGGAGCAACGACTGTTTCCTAAGGACACCGATTTTAGACACAGTGGGCGCCGAAGTGCCAATTGGCGTCCTCTATAGCTCGCAACCGATGGATCCAAACAGATCACATTGTCACAAGTTACGGGTAATGCGCTTTCGTCCAAGATTGTCACTTGTTCTGTAAAACTTGCGTCGGCTGTGATTATGCCTTGGAACGCTGCGGTTTTTCCATGAATTTTATCAGGAGTGAAAGCGACCTCCTCGATTGGTCACTAAGTTGTTACAGAT